CGACACCGAAACATCCTTCTGCAATGCCGTTAAAACCGAAAATAACCGAATTTAACCGAAGTAGGTGCCATGTACCTACCTACAGCAAAGATAAACGTAATCGATGTTTGTTTCAGTGGAAGAATGAAATTAATTTTATTTTTATCGGTGATAAATGTTTGTTACACTGAAATTTTGAATTTGTTATAACGAGTTTTACTTAGCATATTTTATTAATAAGTGTTTTAAATAAGAAAATTGCTAGTCATACCGAAATCTGACTGTATTGCTGATGGATAATACAGTTCTTTCTCACTTCACCAGGTTTCCAATTCTGGTATCATGCAGATGCTCCTTCTCGATAATTTATGAATATAATATGTCTAGCGGAAATTAGATCCTCCTTGATGGCCAAATTACTGGGTTTCTCACCTCTGTTAAAAGGTAGGTTATTATAATAACGACGAGATTGTAATGGTCACGTTGACCATTATGATAACAAAAACACTTTACCACGTTTTGTAAAGATCAACATGGAAGATGACTCCTGATCCTTCCATGTGACTTTGTAATCAAATTATCTCACAGTGTGACAGGATTGTCCCAAATCCTCAGGATCTGCCACCAATCAATTAACACTGACTCATGAGAAGAGAAAATCTGAAGAAGTTCATTCGCTCAAGCAAATAAATTTGTTATCAGAACGCAATATTATTTTCGCACAATGCATAATGTATGAACGAAAGACCCTAACTGAAAACTTTGTACAGCGATAGGTTTCCTATCCTCCGGATTTTACAGTACCTCCTAGACGGAAAATGCGGAACTGGCCCGCGGAAAGCTTCAGTGCGCACGGGAATGACGATGACCTTGCCTGTGGCATACGAACCGGAGGATAATGCTCGAAATTCATGTCTATGTAATGAATAACTATTTCAGGATTCATGAGCCTATAAGATTAGAAAAGCTACTGAGAGCCATAAACTATACATGAATTTCGAGCTGATATACGCCATGGATTTAAGGTTGGCGTTCTCAAGGGCGCAAAAAACCTACCACGAATCCAAAACAGCCGAAATCACATAATTACGATTGATGTTCTGGAGCGAATGAAAACTAAACTCTGATAATATCCCTAGTCTGAAAAAACATTTGTATTTATCTTTGAAGAAAGCACAGTGAAACAAAACGTGGCCTCTCCTTTGCACAAAGGATAATTGAACCATTTTACATCCAGACTAGCATAATTATGCGCAAATAACTCCTCGGCATGTCACAACATCAAAGACATGACACCTTGGGATCCCAGTACCAAAACCACGTTTCAAGCTAGAAAAACATACCGACGTATCTGCGTAGTAGAAGAGATTGGAACGCGTACGAAACTAAGATGTAGACTATCATCACCGCCAAGCCAGCGAAGTAGTACTTCAGCCACCAATGAGTATCAACTTTCTAGACGATAA